GTCACCAACTCATATTGGTATGCACATATCTGGCAACTCAGATCCGAATATATCAAACGAACCTATGTTAAGAAAATATTTCAGGTCACACTTTTTGTGAAAACAGTCGGGTAATCCGTCACTCGTATAAAAAGTTATATTGATTTGACAGTCAGCGATGCTTTATCAGAATAAAAAAGATGAAATTACTACAAAACACCTTAAAAAAATGTGCAGTTTACGCTGAGAAAATTGTGAATGAATGTCGAACCTAAAAGTGATTAGCTCGATTCCGTTCGAGAAATTTGGATATTAAGAATGCCCTTCCCTCTGGTCACAAAGAACACAATAACTTATTGTAACTAATAGAGGAAGACTTGTACGCAAACTGATAGGAGATAGTAGAAACATCAGCTACACGACGGTTTGGAATAATTTAAAAAGAATAGACTTAAGAATTTAAGAATAGAATAGAATAGACAAAGACATTCGATATTTAAATATTTGGATACGACATGAATTCCAACAAAGAAATTTTATTGTTGAAGTACTATCAGTGAAACGTTGCTGAAGCGAAACGTAATTGTTTTCATATAAATTTATTACAGTTTTTTTATAGTTTTGATGAATTCATCGTTAAACCTCAAACCTTGCACCATCTGACAACCATTTACCATATTTCGATATCTGCAAAACTTTCTTAATGGTAAAAAATAAGCAGATCAAATAGTCGCTGAAAATCACTTGACCAGTTCTTTCGTGGATAAACTTTTTAAAGACAGAACTTCTAAATTTCATACCAAAACATTTATTATCATACTATGCCGTCCGTGTTAAAATATTGAACTTCTATTTTGATTTTAATTAATGAAATTCGATTGTATCAGCCACACGATCTTATAGTTTAAATATTCTTTCTTCAAAATATATTTTTTTATATAAGATAAAACTATAACAAACTTATTTTTTTATCAATTGCCTCCATAATGCACAATATACCTTTCAAATATATTAATATATAGTTTTATAATTCTCATTTAGTTTAATTGTATTTAGAAGTTCACATCAAAAAAATAATTCTCAATTAGTTTGTTGGTTTAAATGTATATAAGTCTATTTAAATATTAACTGAATTAGATTTGATTTTAATACAAGGATTAATAAAAATGAACACATAACTCGAAAATATTTGAGAATTGAATTAGTTTAATGTCTAAAACATACATTAAAAATATGCGTAGGAAATATAACATTAAGAATTTTAGTAATAAACTGTAAAAATTATTGAAATTACAATAAAGTATACTGAATCAATTTAAAACTTTTATTTGGAAACGTACCAAAAACAGTGGGCTCTTTATATTAACCATTACATATTTGCACATATATATGAAAAGTGTTTGAGTGCAGTCCAGCGATATGTTTATACCGATTCACTTCTATGAGCAAAATATGGATTCGGTATTTGCCTGTATATATTTATTTTCAGGGTATGCTTTCCAAGTTAAAATATTAAACTTCTGTTTTGATTTTAATTAAAGAAATTCGATTAAATTAGATAAAACTAAAAGGAACTTATTGCTTTTAACAATGGGCTCTATAATACATGTAGACTTATAGTTCTCACTAAGTTTATTTAACGTTACATATGCACATCAAAAAAATAGTTCTTATTTTGTTTTTTATTTTAAATCCGTTTATTGCTCATTATTAATAATCTGATTTAGAATATTTAAGTGAATATTAATATATTAATTTAATATATGCCTCGTGTCTCGTATTAGTTAAATAAGTAAAAATGCATTGATAGTATACGAATAATGTAGGTTTCAAAGCTTAGTGATTTTAATAATTATCAAATTAATAATAAAGTATTATCAATCAATATTATAAACTTTTGTGCAGTTTTATGTTCGGTCAAAATGATTGTAACATTATGAAGTAACCTACGAGAGTAACCATCGAAACAACACTTATTATAAAACTACTTTCTGTCCCTATGAGACTTTGCGGAAAATCAAGCTCCCTTAAAACAAATTTTTAGTCAAGATTTCGCCATCTTAATAGTCGATCGATGAGCTGACTCATTGTACTGCAATAAACGCCAATTTCTTTCTGTCTGATATTCTAGAGCAATAGTAGAATTGTTGTAGTGTAGTGAACTCTTTATTGGACAACGGTTTTCTAGACATACAAACATTATTACTACCAAGCGTTATATACCCATTTTAATCTAATATCTCATTGGGAACACTTTATGGCTATTATATAGGCATCGAGACATCTGACTAGCTAGTGCTGAGGAAATTGTGATAAATAATATCACTAGAAATCCTATAAGCTATGCATAAGCGCTTTTGAACCTCTTGAGGCTACAAGTCTTTTATCATTAAATAAAGACTGGTATATGCATTTTTCGATATATCTTATGCAGCTTCTCAATGAAAATAGTTCTTGCTTGTACATAATCCATGCTTATTCAAAAAGATAGTATTAGTTTAATAGAAAACCGCGAGAATACTAAATCCTCATTTATTTCCTAAAAATATCCTGACAATGTGAACAAATAATCCGGCATTCGAAAAGCATTTACGTTCCTCCAATTCGATTTCTAAGTTGACTTCACTTTATACTTTGATACCATGTTTATGAGTTTGGAATTAAGTTTGCTGCCAGTATTTGATTAAATTGTGATCCTGGCATATTGCGATGAATTTTTATGTTGATTTGATGTTGATAGTTGACATTTAATATTTGTTGTTACAAGTATTTCATTCATTTGCTCACCCTCTGTCAAAGTCTCAGCACAAGCAACAGTGAACGAACCTTTGAAATCTGTTTAGGGCTCCGGAGTTATGGTTTCAACTTTTTTGGTTAAACTTTTGTTGTTATCTTTGTTCTAATTTTGTTGTTGTTTGGCTTTAGTTTCGTCGCATAGGGGGACAATAATATGAAATCTGATAGCCTCAAGGTTAAGGATACACCACAAAAAGCAAAAACGCCGTCAGTTAAAACACAAAGTTGCGGGTAAAACGGACAGATACAATCGTTGTCTTCATCATTGTCATCATCATCACCAACTAAAACCAAACGTAGCCAAACTAAGCTAAACCTAAACGAACCAAACTAAACCAGACCAGACCGTGCCAAACTAAACTAAACTTAACCAAATCAAATCGAATCAAATCAAATCGAATCGAAGCGAATCAAATAAATCGAATTGAGCTGTCGTCTGTTTTTCATTTTATACTCTCAGTGTGAGGGAGCGCTTACATGTGACTGTATGGATGTTTGGAGTGGGATTGGGTGTGTGAGTTGGTGTGAATAACTGGAGTGAGTGATACTTTCTTTTCTTACATCACTTGTTATGATTTCTTTTTTTTTTTGTCTTATTGTTTATTCTTTATTCTTTATAGGTTTTTTTTTGTTCTTCACAAACACATCCTTTTCGTTCGCTTCAATAAAAATTCGTTCGCTTTGAAGTTTCAAGTCAAGTTGCGTGCATACATGCTGAATCTACAGGTTATTCCTTTTCCAAGTGCTCCTCTAACCTATTTGGTTTTTACGCTTTCTTAAACTTTTTTTTATTTGTTTTTATTTATTTTTGTTTGATTATTATTATTACTCGACTCATTCAAAACAAACCAAAAATCATCTCGATGTTACGGTTTCGTTTATGGCTTCATTTCCACCAATCAAAAAACCATCGCTTTCGATAATAACAGCATCTTCGATTCCTTAGGGTGCTATAAAACACATTTGCCTTATTCGAGTTTAACACACATCTGGCGTTACACACAACAAGGATTACTGTTACTGTGTGTCAAACGAACGGGTTCGACCATTTCGCAGAAACTTTTTAAGGAAGAAAGCTTAAATAATTCGTATAAATTTGAATGTAACCCCTTCATTTGTCGGTAATGCATCCATTTTTGTTGTGAGTTTAAATACGGTTATGCGACATTCGGTCAGATGGAATTGCAAGACCAAGTGAAATGGAATCATTTAAAAACTTCAAATGAAATGTGTACTTTTTTATTGAAAAATTATTTCTAACCATTAACAAGAGCTTACAGCCAATCTTCGAAAATTTCTAGAAGTTTCTATGATAATTTTAATATTCATCCGATAATTACTTCA